GGGGATGAAGAGATACAAAAAAGAGTCCCTCCAGGGCAAAGGGAGCCCAGAACCCAGATTTTTCACTTCCTGGGCTCATGCTCGAACCACTAAACTACTGTGCCAAACATAAGCAGATTAGCTATAAGAAATGGATTTGAGGTGCTGCTATAAACAAACATAATATAATGCCTATGAAAGAAGGCACAGTGTAATGATGAGTGTAAACATATGACTGAGGAAAAAACTAGTCCAGTCTGATGGAGAGTCTGTAAACAAAGAATTAGAAACCTATTAATATAGACAGAAATATTTCTGGCCCTAAAATTAAATCTTAAATTGTGTACATTCAACTCACCCAAAGTGTAGTATTTTATGCTGGGATCCAATGTTGCAGTTGCCAAATCCTTCACATTCACATCAAAACGGCTCTGGGCTCTGGAAGCATGCCAAAATGCCATAAACCTTGCAATGAATGAAGCTGTAAAAATGGCTAACATACCAAAGTCAAGCATATTCCATAACTCAAACAGGTATTCCTTGGGTCCTTGAGACCAGATTTCTTTACATTCAGACCATATCATGCCTGTGTATGACAGAACAGAGCAAACCCTGTATTAAATCATTAGCTTTGCGCTGAGCCCCTTCAATATTTTATTATGAATATGATGTGCTCTTAGCAGCAGTTGCATTATAAAGCATTTTGGCTTATATATTCTGAATCCCTTTTTGATGTGCAAATCTTATACTCATACAGAGACTGCAGGATAATTAATTATGTCTTCCCCACTGCAACACGTAAAGCCTAATTCTTCTCACATTCCACCTTTATACCGATACATCTTCACTTCAGCTGTTTAATTTTCAACAGTTAAGTGAATGCAAAATCAGTCATGCAATCCTTTTACATTTAGAGATCCCATTTTACCTTTACAGTATATCTAACTGAAAACCCCATATAGCTGATTTAAGAAAAACTTTACTTTAATTTTGACTTGGATTATGCATTCTAGTAACTCAAAGACTTCACAGAAAGTAATGAACAGATTAATTATGTGTGATGCCCAATTCAGACCTAATGGGAAGAACTGAACTACTGTAATCACAATAGAGTTGCTTCGAGCAAGATTTTTAAAGGTACATCAAAACCAATGTGAGTTAGGGAACTAAATACCTCCTAATATCTTGCCCATTTAGACTAGGACAAAACCTTGCTTACCTTACTTAAATGAGTTCCCTAGTGAATTCAATGGAAAAAAAAACCTCCTTACCACATGATATTTACTACTGTACAAAGTGCTAGCGCAAGATCTGTGCACAAATTGTCATACTTTAGTCCCACATATTTTAAAAGCATAACTGGCACTTAAGGGATACAAATTTTGGTTTATCTTAGTTACCAATCAAAGTTCTTTGAAACAATAATGAATATAAAAATGTCATTGTTCTGGCATATTAGCAGAAACTACATATGCTCAAGCTTGCATTTGTGAACAATGCAAACTTAAGAAAGATTTCAGAAATCCTTTCATTTATCTGGGTTCAGTTTAGTCCATGGTATTTCTCAGTCACATAGTCTTTGTATTTTTTAGAACTTTTGACCCTTGATTTACACTCATTAACTAACTGCAAAGTTCCCTTCTCTGATGTAACATGTTACTACCTTATAGTGAATTCACTGATATTTAAAATTGTAATTAGTGTCAGCTTCTCATTGTTCTTTCCAAGATAAATAAAAATCTTCTGTCAGAAGCAAGATCAGTAATAAACAAACAAATATATTTGCTGGTCACTATAAAAGAAGCCAGAAGACCTACATGAAATTGGTACAGTGGCATGAAAAGTTAAATGAATGTATTTGTGGTTCTCTCCATTCCACTGCCTGAAAGATATTTTTTGTTGGGTAAAATAAAATGGAAGGTGTGCTGCTCTCTATATCAAGAATGGTGTACACTTATTTCACCAAAATCTCTTTTTTCAAGCCATTTGAAAGGTAAATAAAAATTATTAAGAAAAGCAGGTCATGGGAGAATGACTTTGTTTTTCAGATGTGACAAATCTGTTTTACATGCTAGAAGATGATCTACTAGAAGAATAAATGCTATCTAGCATTCATGGAAGTCAGTAAGAGTTTTGGATTTAAACAGATCTGTACTAGTGTGAGTCTGATTCTGCAAATTGTTGTTATTCTTATAATAGTTCTTTCCAGTGTGAGTATTAATGACAATCTAATACGAATCTAATGGGTTTTATCTGCATATCTCAAAAAAGCGTACAAAAGGACATTATAATCGACATTATTTTCATTTTACAGAGGGCAAATGGAGGCACCAAGCAGTGTAGTCCTTTGCCTAATGTCAAGCAGCAGGCCTTGTCCAGAACTAATAACAGAACCTGACTTTCTCAGCCAAGTGGAAATGGTCTGCTTTCACTGAGACTATATACATTACTGAAAACTAATCCCAAATAAATAAGATTTAGGCCCAACATTTCTGAAATAAAACAAGGAAAAGTGTATTTAGTTGTTTACCAATTAACTATCAAATAATGTTTAACTACCATAGGTATTCAGTATATTAGTTTATTGTAGCCTTTATTACTAGGGATATGGAGGCTTGCAAACCTTTGAGGCAACTAATACACAAGGAGACAGTACAGCACTAGGTAGAAGTCCAGGAGCAAGCATTTGACAGGAGATGAGAAACATATGTTTAGCTAAAGCTAAAACTATAAAATAAGGTTCTAGAGTTCTAAAGAAATTAGTCAAAAATGCATGTTGGAATAATTTCCTAGTGTTTTCATTACAGTCATCTAATTTATATACATGTAAATTAGATAACACTAGTAAAATACTAGTGAATTATTCCAACATTCATTGGTGTGTGTATGTATGTCTGTATGTATATATAGACATACAACATACATTTTATACATACATACATACATACATACATACATACCTGCATACATAAAACCTTTTATATATAAAACTGTTCCGTTATTTTTCAGCTAGGGCTACTTCAAGTGTTATACAGAGTAATTAAAAATTTTATGCTCTATCTGTATATGGTCATGGCAGTTATCCATTTGTTATGAACACTTAACTATGTGCTTTATATATCACTTTAAAATATCATTCAGTCACTGTAGAGTTTTGCTTTTCAAATTATAATACATAAATATAATTAGTAAAATTAAAATTTATAGGTTAAATATTTAACATTTCTTCATTTGTCATCAATCAATATTTATACAATGCATTGAAACCAAAACCTATATAATTTACATGACCTCCTGTTATATTAATCCACCTGATAGAATTTTACAAAATAAAGATACTGATTGTGTTTTAAAAAGATACTGATTTGTTTTCTAAAGCTATAACAAATTACTTGATGCACTTGTGGCTCTGATTCCAATTACAGCATGCCCATAAGAAGCTAGATGCCTCAAATAACAAACTGTCAAAGAGAAGCAGATTTTTACTCTCGGTTTCCTTATTTAATAAGTAAAACAATTAAATTAATCTCTGCTGACTAGAAATTAACCCATAGACTGAAACCATAAGCCTGTGACTAATGCTGAATAGGATGTTGTGCTATACTGTATGCTTTTCATATGTAACACTGGTTTCAACATACGTGAAATTCAGCCCCATTGCCATCATGCAAGACAGATGTCTAACTGAAAATTAATATTTACCTATTACCCAAGAGATAATGAGCATTTCCATCCATGAGAAACAGGAAGTTTTCATTCTGAAAAGCTGTTTTACATTATCTGTAGTTTCATTAGGTGGGAGGTTAGTGCCAGTAAATCTGTCAGCTGCATTCATGACTAGTAGACCAAGAAAAATGGTGAAAGAGGCTGCATGTGCTACAAACTTCATAAATGGTCCACGCATTATCCTTCCCAGCTGCAACACAGGTTACAAAACACAAATGACATTGACTTATTTCAAAGCATATTTTTTTGTCAGAAATACAGTTAATACATGTGCGTGCAGGGTCGGCCCATCCTATCCTGTGAAACCTGTGGCCACAGGGGTTCCCTATGTACGGTCACTTGCCCCCTCCCTGCCACCACCATTGGCTTCTTCGCGTCAGGGGGCCCTCAAAAATTGTGGGCTGGCCCTGTGTGTGTGCACAGTGATATCATGATGAAATTGTAAAAATTTCAATTTACTGGCTGACTTCAAAAGCAAGAGGGACAACTTCAGTATTAAATATCAGCATTTTTGACATGGCAGTGTTTGAAAATATTACTATAATTCTTCTTTTAACTCTATATCTATTATCATAGATCAAGCAAACTATTTCTTACTACTGCCAACTCTCTTTTAGCTTACATTCCCTGAAATCTTTAAAAGGTGACAAAGAAAGTAGTAAAAATATGCTGCAGCTTGTTAGTAGAAGCACTGAATTAGCAAGAGTACAGTCGAGCTGAAGCAATCAGTTTTTGATTGTTGTGATATTCTACTTAGGAGACAGGTTCAGTTTAGCTTTTCCAATCTGTCTTCCCCTTTGCTTATCAAATATAAATAGGCCCCCAAAAGTTGTGTTTATAGTTTTCTAAGTTTCTTACATTATTTCTTCTTTCTTTTAATGGAAATATCTCTGCCTGGCCACCAAGACTAGTGACTAAACAGAACATCAGGATCTTGTTACATCTTATGCTGAAAGCTGCACACATTAACTGGCTTACTGTTGTTTGGCTTAGTAGAGCAGTCACACCTTAAGGCAAAAATCCTTCGCTAACTGTCCTTCACCTGCACAGATGTGACTTGCCATTAGAGGCTTGGTAAGCATGGGCAGGACTAGGAGCTAAGGACAAGACACTGCTCCCACCAGGCAGAGTTGCAGAAAAACCAGAGAGACCCAAGGAAGCAGCTTCCCTGATGCTCTCTGGTCTTGCTGATAGTGGTTCTGGACTGAAAGCAGGGCTGCCAGGCTTAAGCCCTGACGCTCAGTGTGGAGCTGCCACAGCTCTACAGGACCAAGTTGCGGCCCTGGGGCTCTCTGGTCTGGTCAAACTGTGGTGGCTCTGTGCTGAGAGCAGCAAGCCAGTCCAGGCAGTGCCAAAAGGCACCATGGGCACCAGACACTCCAGGGCAATGGTGTTTGCTCTGCCCAAGGTACCTGGGGGGGCACTGTGCCTGGCCCTGCTGCATCTCAGCATCCCAGGTCACCCTCACTCAGGAGAGGCTACTGCATTTTAGGATGCTGGAGGACTTTAAATTGGGTGGAATAGTTGTCTGGGCTGACCACATCTTAATGGAAGGAGCAGAATTAGGTGGATTAGAGATAATCCTGCCCTGGAATGGCATACCTTTAAGATCAACAATAAGTGCTTTAAGCCACATAAAAGGTGTTAACGTGCAGCCAATCCAGGGGTTATGAGCTCCAGAAGCTATGTAACAAGCAAAATTACTGTGTAGCAAGTAGGCCTGAGCGAATAGACAACTATTTGATTTGGATTCGAATTCAGCCAATTCAAATTCAGCCGATTTGATTTGGAGATTTGAATCGGTTTTCTGTTTTGATTTGGCCAAATTGATACGGAAAACATTTGGAGCCGATTTGGAGAGATTCGGAGAAACGGCCATAGGTTACAATGGGGAATCAATGAAATATCTACAACTTTGTTATTTTTGGCTGATTTGGATGAAACTTGCAGGGGTCGTACCTGCTCCTGAGGGCATGAAGCCTGCCAAGTTTCGAGGTGATAGGTGCAGAGGTTTCTGGGAAACTGCACCTCAAAATCCTGAAAGAAAAACTCATGTCGCATGTGTGTGTGTTAAGCCACAGAGGGGTGAAAACTACAGGGATGCTAGCCCTTGCTGAAGCCACAAAGCCTGCCATGTTTCAAGGAGATAGGTGCAGGGGTTTCTGGGAAACTGCACCTCCAACTGCTGACAAGCAAAACTCATGACATAAGTGACACTGTGTGTGTGTTAAGGCACGGGGTTGAAAACTGCAGGCCTGCTAGGGCCTGCTGTGGCCACAAAGCCTGCCAGCTGTCAAGCTCTGATAGCTCATCTTGTGTTTTTATGTTTATATGTTTATTATGAAAAAAAATGAAATAGTTAGAAAAATATATCTTGGGAAGTTTTTGGGTTAAAAAACCCTTTGTCAGGCTGAGGAAGTATGTGCAGTTGGTGTGTTTTCTGGTCCTGGATGGAACAAATAGTAAAGAAGCCAGAGGATGGCCTGGCATGCAATGCAGGCGAGAAAGCCAGTCAGGGAATATGGAAATAGAGGTGTCATAGGGTGAGGGACAGGTTGGTGGGGAGAAGGGGGATGTAGCAGCACAGGTAAAAGTGCATAGGTACCTGGGGAGTTAGATGTATCAAAGACAACAATACCCAACTACCTGTCGGGGCACATACCTCACCAAAAAAATACTCTGCCTCCAGTCTCTCAGGTCTGATCCTGAGAGGGAACAAATTACACGCCACTTTTCACAGCTGGGCCTATGAACTGCACTTCATCAGCCTCCTAGGTACAGAAAGTCATAGACTCAATATAGATTAGACAGTGGAATTCTGACACACTGCAACCTGCTGGACATCTGACTCCCCAGGCACCTCTCTACTTTTACCTGTGCTGTTACATCCCCCTTCCCCTCAACCTCCTTGATGCTGCTAGTGCTATTGGTGTTGAGCCAGCTAAGTTATTTTGACCTGCCATCATTTTTAATTGTGGACTGGACCGAGGCTGTAGGGGAGGAGGAGGCCTCATGGGGGCACACTGCCGTGTTGTGCAGAGGCCTCAGCACCAGGAAGGGTGCACCTGAACACACCCACAGTCCCACAAGCACCCATGTCACAGGTTTTGCCTGCCTGTGGCCAGAAGTGCAGGGCCCCAGAGCCCAGACTCCCCCTACACCTATCTCCTTGACAGCTGGCAGGCTTTGTGGCCACAGCAGCCCCTAGCAGGCCTCCAGTTCCCACCCCACTGTGGCTTAACACCCACATATAACATGAGTTTTGCTTTCAGGATTTTGAGGTGCAGTTTCCCAGAAACCCCTGCACCTTTCACCTTGAAACTTGGTGGGCTTCGTGCCCTCAGCAGCAGCTACCACTCCTGCAAGTGTCATCCAAATCAGCCGAAAAACAACAAAGTTATAGGTATTTCATTGATTCCCCATTATACCCTATGGCCAAATCTCTGAATTGCCTAATCTTTTCCGAATTGATTCAGAAGCTCCGAATTGATTCGGAAAGCCTAAAGCTTCTAGCGATTCAATTTGGATCCATAGATTTGGCCTCTGAATCACCTCAATCATTTCCGAATCCAAATCATGATCTAAAGCTTTGTACGTCTCTAGTGACAAGGCCTTTAGGCTGATTTTTGTGACATTTAACAGAACTTGAAAAATTCCCTTTAAATTTACACCAACTCAAACTATTTAAAATGATTTATTTTATAGGCCTATATACTTTTTGTTAATACTAGCTAAATAAACTGATTGCAAACTGAGAATATATGCTTCTCTGTTCTCTGAGTGATGGCAGCCACTGCATGTGCCAAAATATGAAGAATGCACTATTAAGAGCGAGGAGAGGCAGGGAGCATTCATTATAAAAAGGAGGGTTTCTTTTACAATTATGGATGAAAGGTCAAAATCAGACTCTGGCCTACATCAAAATCAAGTTTAGGTAAACATGGAACAAGTGGTTAGTAGAGGATACAGTAATAAGGTCTCAAACACAGATAATTTACTCAAAGAAATAAAAAAAGACTGTTAAAGGAACACTGTCAAGGTTAGCGGGCTCAAAATTTGACCTCAACTATTTTATATATCATTTGCAAATCCATGCAATTCATCCCAGAATAAATTTTTATCTTAATAAAATTAATTTGTCCTTTTCTAAAACCAAAGAATTCCCTCAGCCTCAAGAGGCAAAATAACAAATTATTTTGTATACACTATAAAATGAAAGGATATTAGTCAGAGGAAAATATTTCATTTTCAAGTATCCGTGGAGTGGTTATAAACAACTGTGAGTAAAAGAGTTTGAAAATGATAAACAGAATACCTTGACAGTGTCCTTTTAAATGCATTATCTTGTGTTCACAAACGAGGATAGGACTGGGAGACAGATGCCAGAAACAGACACCCAGGGAAGAAGAAGAAATATTGAAGGAAACCAGGTTAATACCAGTCAATAAAGAAATATTAAAAACAATATAAAGCCCCCCCAAAGAGACAGAAAAGTCTTTATTAGCTATAATTAAAAAATCACTGGCAATAAAGGATGACTACAGATAGGTTGAAATTTATTTTGACACCTATATTTGGGATGTGACCTGTGACGGTCTAGGAAGAGTGGCTTGTATGTACATTTGACTACCTGTGGAAAAGATTGTGAGAGGGAAAGCATTTATCAAGCACAGAATGGGGAAGCACACACTGGGTGCATCAACATGTTCATTAATGTGCCTTAGATACTGCACATTTAGTTTAGTGGTTCCTTAATAAAGCACTAACTAAATGCGCAGTACCTAAAGTTACTGCACAGTAGTGCTGGTGCACATTTAGGGCTGCTTACTGCACATTAGCTTAATAACACTGCGCTGTAGGCTATTAATTAGGTTTTTGCCATGACATGCTACTGTGCAGTGTTATTAGGCACAATGTGTAGTGTCTCATGTATACATGCCCACAGTGTTCAATGCTGCAAAAAGCTGAGAGTTTCCTGCTTAATTTTCATTGAGTTACAAATTAAATATGAGCTAAAGACAGAGAACCTTAGAGAAACATTCACTGTCATACAGGATAGGATCGTCTCCATTTTGGTAGATGAGATGGACACAGAATATGAAAATTATGATTTCTTGTAATGGCAAACATTTGTGAGGAAGGAAAAAATGAGGTGGTGAAAAGGTAGTTGGCATGTTTTCTAAGGAAAAA